TTGTTGGGGTTATCAGTTTTTCTTCTTCTTTAATTTTCTCAGTAACTTATGGCACAAATCTCTGATAATAAAGTAAGACTCACTAGTTGTAAAATTCACTAACTAGGAAGTTAGTAGTTAGAGCTGGGTTTATAGTGAGGATATTATACTGTGTGGTAGAAGATTTGTATAGCATGTCCTGGAACACAGTCTAATACATGTTGAAGCACATGTGCTCCTTCACTTAAATGCAGTAAGTAGCCCCAGAAGGAGTGGGTGAATTTTTCTGGGTGCCCCCTCAAATTTAAATTCAAGAGTGAGGATTTGCTAATGGGTATGTGAATCTGTCGTGCTGTGTTATTCACTTTGAAGGTAAACTATGGGAGTGTCAATTTTCAAATAAAAAGTGAAAGAAGGAAAATAGTATTTGCTTTCCTGTGGAATTTATAAAGTATCTTGATATGTTTGCTGGCCAGAAGACCCTTCCTTCATTGGTGATAGAGCAGAATATCTTTGCCTATATGTGTTATGAGAAATTAGTATGACCAAAAGGATTGAGTTTGTGCCAATTTAACATATTTCAAAAACTGCAAATCCTTGCAGAAATGTGAACTTGTTATAACAAATTAATTTTTTTTTAATCTCTTAGAACTGGTAAACACTCTGAGCAAAGAGATAGACTGCAAAATCAGCATTAAAAAATCAGTAGCCATCACATACAGCAAAGACAATTGTGATGAGAAAGAAATCAGAACAAGAGTTCTGTTCACGTAGCTTCAAAATGAGTGATGAAATGCCTAGGAGCAAACCTAACAGGAAGTAAAAGATCTCTACAGTGAAAAGTTGAAAACCCTGAAGAGAGAAAATAAAGCACTAGAAGATGGAAACAGACCTCCCATGCTCATGAGTTGCAAAGTTGATATCATGAAAAGAACTTGCTTACCAGAAGCAGTCTACAGGTTCAGTGCAGTACCCATCAAAACTCTGATGCTCTGATGACATTCTTCACAGAAATAGAAAAAAATCCTAAAATACACATGGAAGTATGCCTGGCGGGGTGGCGCACACCATTAATCCCAGCACTTGGGAGGGAGAGGCAGGCGGATCCCTATGAGTTCAAGGCCAACCTGGTCTACATAGGGAGTTCTAGGCCAGCTGGAGCTGCAGAGATACCCTGTCTCAAAAAGACCAAAAAAAAAAAAAGAAGAAAGAAAAGAAAAGTGGAAGTACAAAAGACTTTGAATAGCCAAAACAATCCTGAAGAATAATAATAGAGATATCACAATATCTGATCTCAAGTTAAACCATAAGCCACAGTGACAAAAATAGCATGGTACCAGCACAAAACAGACATACAGATCAATGGAACAGAATAGAGGACCCAGATATGAGCCAACACAGCTGTAGCCACCCAATGTCAAAGAGGTAGATTGGAGAAAAGACAGCCTCTTTACCAAGTGGTGAGGTGAAAACTAGACACCCACATGTAGAAGAATGAAACTATATCCCACCCTTTCACCCTGTAGTAAAACCAACTGGACATGGATCAAAGACCTTGATGTAAGACCTGAAACTAATAAGAAAAAAACTTTTAAGTTGTAGGCATTTCTGAAAAGGAGTCCAGTAACTCAGGAAATAAAACGAAGACCTGACAAATAGGATTGAACAAAAATTAAAAACTTACATAGCAAAAGAAGCAATCAAGTAAAGAGATAGCCTATAGCATGTGAGAAAAACTTCACTAGCTATATATCTGACAGAAGACTAATACTTAAAACATAAAAACTCCGGCTGGCAAGATGACTCAGTGGGATTAAAAAAAAGTTTGCCATCTAGCCTAATGTCCTGAGTTGGATCCCTGGAATGTGTACACACACGAATGAATGAATGAATGAATGAATGAATGCAGAAATGTGGGGCTGGAGATATGACTCCGTGGTTAAGAGCATTGGCTGTTCTTGCAGAGGACTGGGGTTCAATTCCCAGCACCCACATGACAACTAACAACCGTCCATAACTCCAGTTCCAGGGCATATGATGCCCTCTTCTGACCTCCACAGGCATTGCATGACACGAATGCACCTATATACATGCAGGCAATATGCTCATACACATAAAAATATTAAAAATAAATACATAAATATAGCCAGGCATGGTGGCGGTACATGCTTTTAATACCAGCACTGGGAAGCAGAGGCAGGTAGATTATTACCTCTCTGAGTTCACTGGGAAGCAGAGGCAGGTAGATTATTACCTCTCTGAGTTCAAGGCCAGCCGGGTCTACAGGGAGACCCTGTCTCAAAGGAAAAGACAAAAACAAAACAAAAAAAAAGTGAAAAAAATTAAAAACACTCATGAAACTAACAAAAGCCCCTAATCAGTGAATAAACTATCCCAGCATAGATGTGAAAGTAAGAAACCTCAACCCTACTTGTGGAACTATTGGCAACCAATGGCTGCTGGGAAGGGACGATTTAGTCTCTTTTAAGAGTGAGACTCTTGGTAGGATAACCAGGTTCCAGTGAATGAACCCACACCAAAGAGCATTTGAGGATGCAAACCTGACTTTATAGATACATTACTGTCTTAGTTTGTTCTTCATTGCTGTGACAAAACACTCTGACCAGTACCAACTTGGGGAGGAAAGGGTTTATTTGTCTTACATCTCCCAGGTCGCACGCAGTTCATCAGGGAGCCCAAGGTAGGAACTCAGGGCAGGAACTTGGAGGCAGGAGCTGGAGCACAGGCCATGGAGGAATGCTGCTTACAGGCTTGCTCCCTTGGCTCCTGCTCAGCCTGCTTTCGTATGCAACACAGGCCCACCTGCCCAGGGGTGGCACCACCCACAGTGGGCTGGGCCCTCCCACATCACTCATCAAGAAGATGCCCCTCAGACATGGCCACAGGCCAGTCCAATAGAGGCAATTCTTCGATTGAGGCTCCCTCAACCCAGGTGTGTCAAGTTGACACTAAAGCTATCCAGCACAATTACCTTTATAGATACATTAGATTATAGGAAATTTGGTGGGATGTTAGTAAGAGAAGGGTGCAGATATGAGAGGGGATCAAAATATGTTGTATCAAAATTCACAAGAATTCAATAAAAGGGAAAAATAAATGAGCTAATGAAACAAACAGATTCTTATCAAAAAACTAATTGTAATTGCATGGCCAATAAACATTAAAAAATGTGTAACATCCTTAGCAACCAGAGAAATTGAAGTCAAAACTACATCTTACTCCAATTAGAATGACTTCATTAGTGAAACAAATAATTACACAGAATGTTGTTGTATACCTGTAATCCCAGCACTTGGGAGGCAGAAACAGGACGATCGTGCAAATTCAGTACCAGCCACAGCTACATCAGGAGACTTGAGGGAGGGGGTCTGACGGAGAAGGGGGGGAGAGAGCGCACCATAGACAGAGAAGAGAGATAATTAAAACAAATGCTGGTGAGGTTTAGGGGAGGGAAGGCTTGGTTATACCCTGCTTGTAGGAATATAAACTGGTCAAGTCACTATGGAAACCAGTGTATAAGTTCCTCAGAAAACTAAAGATAGGATTACCAAATGACCCTGCTATACCATTCCTGGATATGTATCCAGAGTACTGAGTCAAGGTACAGCTGACACTGCACATCTGTGTTTACTGTGGCACTATTCACAGTAGCAGATTGTAGAATCAGCCTCGCTGCCTCTGCAAACAGATGGCAGATAAAGAAAATGTGTATGCACAGTGGCATTTCATCCAGCCATAAAGATGCTGTTACATCATTTGCAGAAGAATGGATGTAACTAGAGAGCATCATATAAGTGCAATAACTCAAACAAGTACATGTTTTCCTTCATGTGGATCCTAGATTTTACATAGATACTTAAAATCATACATGCACACACATGTGACATGGAATTCGTAGAAGGGAGATTGAGAGAAGGAAGGGAACTACATGGGGAGTGAATCAGACATACTTGACTGTACACCAAGTTAAAAAAGAAAAGAAAAAAACTGGTGGCCCATGTCATGGCACACAGAGAGCAAAGGTAGGGAATCGCCACAAGTTTAAGGCCAGCTTAATCTACATAAAAGTTCCAGGCCAGCCCGGACTACATAGTTGAGGCCATATTTCAAAAAGTCATAATAAATTAAACTTGTAGTAGCCTGGGCAATTAATATATTTAAACAGTATAATTTAAGAAATCATTTAAGGCCAGGAGTTGTGGCGCATGCCCCCAATCCTAGCACTCGGGAGGTAGAGGCAGGCAGATCTCTGTGAGGTCAAGGCCAGCCTTGTCTACATAGGGAGTTCCAGGCCAGCTGGAGCTACAGAGAGACCCTGCCCCCACCTCCAAAAAGAAATACTTTAAAAGCATATTTATAACCAAGCATACTAGCTCGCACCTGTAATCCTAGCACTCGGAGACTCGGGGAAAGAAATGGGAGTTCACAGTCAGCCTGGACTACATAGTGAATTTTAGGCCAGCCAGGATAGATAGGAAGATCCTGTCTCAAAACACACAAATGCCTATTTGCATTTGAATCTGACTAAAAGACATAAACTTTGTGGTACTTGTTCTCTATCAAAGACAGTTTAAAAGAAAAATACTCTGTACCAACCACTGACTTTGTTCAAATTTCATTTCACCCAATAGCAAAAAAGATGCCAGAATGTTTTATGTGCAGTTTTTGAATTTAGTAAAATAGTATTCAGGGTAGCCCAACTATACCTGAATTTCTAGTAAACAAGATTGCTGATTCTTTCTTGAGACCGTGCGGTAAACATGCCTGGAAAAAAGATGATGAATAATTGATCTTTGTGAAGTCAGTAATTGACACTGGATTTTCTTTTTCTCTTCATGCTCAGTTTGTGTTGAAGTCAGAAACTTCATTGTTTCTAACTGTAGCCATTCTTTCTCAAGCATTGCATACTGTCAGTTTTGTTCTTCTCTGTGGCACTGTTTTTCTTTCACTTGTGTAGAACTAACTCTTCTTCTGGCAATTGATTATTGTTTCTGTTTTAGACTTTCAGGATGAATCTGGAAAAGCTCAGCAAGCCTGAACTCCTGACACTATTCAGTATTCTTGAAGGAGAGCTTGAAGCCAGAGACCTCGTTATAGAAGCTCTGAAGGTATGGGGTGGGCAGAGATCATAGTCCCTTCACTAGTTTATTACTAGTAATTTATTTTGTTATGAATTAATGTTTAAGTGGGTAGTGTTGTGGTCCTTGAAGTTGTAGGGAACCTATTGATAGTTGCTGTAGACAGCCACCTATACAGTAAGATTTTAGGGACATTGGTAAAGTTTTTCTGCCATCAGAATAGTTCCCTTAGTCTCTACCAGGTTTCTAGACTTTGACCTTTATGCTTTTAATGTGCCTTGGCTATTTTTAAATGCTGACCCCTTTCAGAACTTGTTGAGACCTACTTTATGAAAAATGTATATACGTTAATAGACCAAAGTTCAGGATATACTATTCAGGAAACCAAATAGTATATCAAACCAGCTTCCATGAAGCTGTCTATGGATTCCCTGAACACAATTAAGAATTCCTCCATTGTTTACCTGTTAATGCAAAGAATGGGAGAAGTTGTATGTCAATGAGGGCAGAAGGTGTACAGTCTCACAAAAAATATAAGCGGGCACAGTTCCTCTCATGTCACGAGCTCTGCACTTGCCCAAGGTTTTCCCCTTTGTCTCTTGAGCATGTTTGGATAGAAAAAGGAAAGACTCTTTTTTTCAAGAGTGTCTGTTGAGTGATAGGCAAACGATCCTCCCAGAAGACAAAGGAAAACAACCAAAACAGTGGAATTTGAACATGCTGAAGAGAGATTGGTCCCTGCAAAGTGCAGAGAAGTAAATACAGAAGAGCTTTCTTTTTTTTTAAATTTTGATAATTATATATTTTTAAATATGTATAAAAATATATCAGTGTTTAGCACAGAGCTCAGTTTGGGCTAATATAAAGTTAGGTTACTGAAATAAAAGTATTAAAGTAATAATATATTGTGACTTTAACTATGTATAAACAGTCTCCAAATGAATAAAGCTTAGGAAATACCTGCAAAGTTAACTCACCAGCATCAGGGTTACACTTTCAGTCTGTTTTGTGTGCTCTAAAACTGACATTAAGCTCATCATAGAAAGAAAGTGTGATAAGGTGGTTTGCCTTTTAGGCAGCATCACTCGGGAAAGAACTGTTCCATAACATTTTGTTCTTAGGCTTTTTATACTTAGTGTTCTCGTCAGTAGTATATTGACTCAATCAGTGAGTCAATAGGTGTTTACTGTGTATAATGTTTGCTTACAATTTCCAGGAATATGAGAATCTAGAAGTTTTCTTTTAAGAGGTTATATTGATGTACATCTCAAAGTTCCCTTAATAAACAAGGTTTATGAAGTGGTCTACTATACTTTTAAAAGTTCTTAGTTCTTTATTCAATAAGAGGGGTATTTGTATTACTATTTTGTATGTATTCATATGAAGCTGATTTGTTGATTTTAGTTGTTGAGGGGTCAATTAGTTTTTGTTTGTTTTGTGGTGCTGGATATCAAACCCAGGGCTTTGCACATGCTAGGCAAGAGCTCTGCCACTGAATGACATCCTCAGTCCTGAAGTTTGGGGTTTTGTTTGGTATCATTTTTTGGGTCAGGGTCTTGCTGCATAGAGCAAGTGGCCTTGAACTCATTATCTAATCCAGGCTGGCCTTGCACGCCCTTCTTGCCTCCCCCTCCTCCATGTTGGGCCTGTACTACTACTAGGTCCAGTTTTTGTTGTTGTTGCTGACATTTGTTTGTTCGTTTGTTTGTTGTTTAATAACAGCAGAAATCATTCTTCTGCCCTTGGGCTGGAAAACAGAGAATCAGGGATTTCCTAAGCAGCCAACAGTTATAACTCAGTAAGAGTTCATACAAAAACCCTTTTACTGTTCTTTAGTAATTCTGTAAGAGTTCATATAAAAACTTTCTTATGTTTCTTAATTTTCTCTTCTTTTTTGCTTTCCATACTGATTTGCGTCTGATCCTTTAGTAATTTTTTTGAGACAGAGTCTCACCAATCGTAGCCCAGCTGCCATTACACTTGGTGTATAGCTCAGACTGGCCTCAAATTCATGGTCCTCCTGTCTCTACCTCAAATATGTGGATAACTGGCCTGTGAATGCAGCCCAGCTTCCTTTATTCTTTTTGTGGATTACTCTGAAACTATAATCATGATTTAAAAATAAAATAAAATCTAGGCCAAGTATGGTGATGCACACTTGTAATGCCAGCACTTAGGAGGCAGAGCCAGGAGTATCTCCACAAATTGAAGCCCAGCCTAGCCTATACAGCATGTTCTAGATTAGCCAGGGCCACATAGCAAGACCCTGTCTCAAACCAAAGAAATCTAAACCTGTTATTCCCATAGCTGTTAGATTTAGAGAGATATTAGTATCTTTTCATGTTGAATAACGAGCTGATACTTCTAATTAAATATGCCTTCAGACACCTTCCCATTTCTTATCCTGTATTTATCTAATAAGGAGGAAAAAATAAAAAGAAAGGTTCGCGCTCTTTCCTAACCTTCGCTTCACTTGCTCCTGTTACTCTGTCTTCTTCCCCCAGTTCTCATCTGCCTTAATCCCCTCAATTGGGATGGGGTGGGAAATGGTGCATGGAATGAAAAAAATCAGCACATGACCTCATTTTTGCTTTAATATTTTCCCCAGCCTTTGAAACTGTGCAGATCTCTGCTGCTTTCTGTGTCCATTTTGCTGTTTATTCTATCCCAATCTTAACATAGCATCTGCCATATAGATGCTTGATAAATATTTGTTGTTATTTTTAGTTGTTGACAATTTAACTCAGGGCCATTGACATGCTAAGTACTTGCTTAGTCACTAAGCTACACCCCAGCATCAAATATTTATTGAACAAATAAAATGACTGTGCCATTGTGACGTATTGCTTTAAGACTGTCACAGTACTTCGAGCTGAAGTTTCAAATCACTGAAGACTATTCTTAGGTGTTCTGCCACATGCCGCCTTCTTAATGTTAACAGATTTTCAGCTGATTGTTGGACATGTTTTTGTAACAAAGATTTTGTACTTGAGTCCAGTTTTATTGTAGGAATCATTTGGAAAGTTGAAAGAGCAAGAGCTGTAATTAAGGGAGCATTTTAATAGACGATCCCATTCAGAACCAGGCACAAGTGTTGGATTGAGTCTGCATATGATCTATAGGTGATAAAGTTGCTGAGGCTTAACCCCTATTCAGTTTAGGTGACATGAGTAATTCCACTACAACTGACACGCCTTTGAACCATCTGTTGTTAGACCAGTTGTTGGCAGCTGGGTTTAAGGTCAGTTCAGTCCTTAGAGAAAAGCAACTGCCATGTCAAGTTTCTTAAGTAAAAATGAAATCTCACTTAATTTGTGGGTTTTTTTATTGTTTTGTTAGTTGTTTGTTAGGGTTCCGTAATAATACTGACATTGCCTTACAGCTTTTTTGCTTAATAACATACACCTGTTGGACTATTTGGACTAACATGAAAGTTTAATCATTTTCTTAATTATTATTAGTTCCTAACTCATACTTAGTGACCTGAAAAGGTTTTTGTCTTTGTCCTAAACAACTTTGATTGGTCTTTCTTATGTTGGCTTTTGAGAAAAAAAAAAAATTGTTTTGTGATTTTTTCTACTTACCTTTAAAATAGTACCCCCCCCACACACACACATGCAAAATCTATTCATTAGTCATGTGTCTATGAACAAAACCCTATGTCTACTTGTTGCTTCCCTAATGGCTAGTAGGGCACACTGGCGAAGGTTTTGCTTTTTTAGGGATGTATTATAAGGCTCCCATAGTTTGTAAAGTGGATCCTACCTAAAGAGTTGGAATTATAAGAGTGTCACTCATTTTCCAGAATTTCTGCAAAGTTCCAGATGGCACTCCACCGTCCTATAGTCTCCCCTTCTTGTTCTCCTCCCACCCACAAAAAAATCCTTCTTGCTCTCCTGTTGTAGCCGAAGCGTGTTTGGTACAGAACTGTGAAAGCCAGGTTTTCTGTGATTCGGCCTTTATAGTTGAATAATTGCTAGAGACATCTATACTGTATTTGGTCCCAGTTGAGCCTTACCTAAAAGTGATTTTCTATTTTAGAAGATACCATGTCAGAGAAAGACATTCTTTGTGAGGAAGTCCCACACATTCATTTCTCTGAGCGAGAGCGCTGTAGGAATCGGCTCTGCAGAGAGCAGAAGAGCACTGCTCATAAGCTGTCCCAGAGAAGCCGGGGTAGAACAGCACAGTTCAGCAGGAAAGTCTTGGCTCATTGATTCCACACAGATCTAGAAAATGGCCTGCTGAGTGTCTTGAGACTGCTCCAGAGGGGACTCAGGAACTTGAATCATCAGCCATTTAAAAATCTGGAAAATAGATTTGACAGTTAATAAAATGGAGAGCAGATAGTTTGTTTTTAATCTTCCATGCCATGCTGGACATATTCTGCATTATCTCCACATGCCTTCCAGCTGATGCAAAGCCATGCTTAGCTGTATCCAGATAGAATCTGCTCTGTATTTATTGATGTCATTTGATTTTAAAGCATTCTATTAACTTTTCATATGGTTATCAGTGGTAAAATACTATAACTTTCATGTAGAATTGAGGGGGCTTAAATTCCTTTCCACTGATGCCTCAGTCGTAAAGCAGGTGTGACTCTTTAAAGCATGCAATAGAACACTGTTGTTTTGGCTAATGGCCATTACAAAATTTACCAAGCAAGAAAATTTTGCAGGCAAAATGTTACAGACATGACAAAATCAGAAATATATTTGGGATGAGACTGTAATATGTCATTCAATAGGTTGAAATTTTTTTTCAACAACTTAAGTGACAAACAGAAATCTCAGTGTTACAAATAGGTCTGTGTTGAGGTAATACATAATTTACTTTTGCTGAAAATGTTCTTGAAATAAAAAGGATGGTAGTCACAACATACAAAACAGAATAAAAGTTACAAGAATGCTACGAGTTCAGTATAAAGCAGCCGAATTTATACTGCAAGCAGGTTGTTATAAAGGCTGGTCTGAAATGGGGAAAGCACAGCTGACTCAACAGTCCACAGGCATTGTCCTGTGCTAATAAGC